TGTTGCGTGAAGAGATTCGAAGGTCGGTTCCACCAGAAGACGACGGCGGATTCCTCTTGACCAGCTGGAGTATTCATGCTGACGCTGTGTCCGAGGCAGTCTCCTTCGATTCCGGTGAAAAGGTGATAAGCTTTTGATATTAATCAGAGCGAGGTAACATCGTCACAACAAAATTCAAGCTAACGAGTCAAGAAAACTCACCGGCAAATCCCCAAAAAGTGGTATATATACTCTATATCTGGCCTCCTTAATCAAGTACAAAGTAATTTGGTTAGTTACGGTCATATGTCAACTTGGATGCATGTAAGTGCGTCTGTCTCTGTATGTGTCCGCTTATGCACGAAACCCGCAGTAATGGCTCGAAGTAACTAGGACAACATCAAGGCCATCAAAGTTTGATGACCACAATCTCCCCCTTTCTGCAAACATGTTATAAGCATCATTCCGATTGTGCAAGTTCGGACACTCATCTGATTATGTTGATGATCCTTTTTTTATTTTTGGTCTCAATGCGAGAGAGAAAGAGTGAGCTAAAGTACAGAGAAGTGAGTATGCTTAGAACCAAGACAAGAAAATACTAAGTGTTATGCCTCCTTTTGCAGGTGGCTCAACTCCCCCTATTAATTAAGCACAAGAAATTGTTACTTTTCTTTTCTTCCCCCAACACTTTTACTCGAAATGGAAGTAAGCTCAACAATTATGAAACAAGAGGTTTCTCAAAACTCAACTTTTCTTCGTACATATGACCTTAACTAACCAAATAACTTTATACTTGGCGAGGCCAGATGTAGAGTATAGATACCACTTTTTAGGGATTTGCCGGTGAGTTTTCTTGACTCGTTAGCTTCAATTTGGTTGTGACGATGATACTTACTCTGATGATGTTCGTCAAATGACGGACGAAAGCTTATCACCTTTTCACTGAAATCAGAGGAGATTGCCTCGGAAACAGCGTCAGCATGAATATTCCAGTAAAGTCAATCGAAAGCTGTTCGGTGGAATCGACCTTCGAATTTCTTCACCCAACACATTCACTCGAAATGGAAGTAAGCTGAACATTGCTTGAATTAGGCAAAGACTTTGGCGAATGCGACATCATGTTGGACGATGCCCTCGAGAATCGTGAAGAAAACGACTTCGCCGTGGAGATAAACCGACTTCTGTTCGGTCGAGCACGCCTCCGAGGCGCAAATTAGCCTCGCTCTCTCCAAATCCGCCGGCAAGACGACACTCGGACTGTATCGTCGCCGAAGATGCTCCATCTCCGACGTGACTGGATTTGGGCGCATGTGACGACTTGCATGTGCACACTCCTGGCCCCACAAAAAGGCTACCGACCGTCCATCTGGTCTCGACGTCAACTGGATCGGCTTAGAAACACTTGCCTGACTTCGAGTTACCAGGGCATTCTGCCCAAATCCTACAGAGGTAAGTGAGCGTAGGCTGAGAGCAAACAGATGCCTGGAAAAAACGGTTTCAGACAGGCTCTGGAATCGGCAACGCGGATAGGTTCGTTGGGAGGAAAAAGTAAATAGTTCACAGTTTCACCTGCCCAAACTGTATGTATGTACTTTAGAAGGCTTAACAAGTAAAATGCAGCGGCACTTTTTCGCAAACCACAATGGGCAAATTAGTCTATTGTATTTTTTAGAGTAAGAAGTGAAAAAACTACTTGTTCCAATCAGCCCAAATGAATAAATAGTATTATTATTTTATGAAATGCGATTCACAAATATCTGCCGCTTTGTGAAGAGATACATGCTGAAGCAAAACGCAATTCATTTGAGGGTAAAACGTGACTTTTTCGTTGTTGAGCAGATTTTCGAGACTATCAGTTAATCAGATGTATGAATTAGCTTCACCCTATTTCGTTTAAGGTGATGATGGACTGGTAGCTGAATTTTCCCACAATCATATGAGTAGAACTGACGTTTCCACTCAATTTCACATGGTCTTGTTTTCCCAAAGGGTATTCTCATGCAGTTTTCACCTCAACTCTACTCATGTCATTGTGGGAAAATTCAACTAGCAGTCATTCATCAGCTTAAACGAAATAGTGTGAACACATCTGGCTGCTTGAGTGGCGTAAAGCGTGACAATGTGTGAAGCCCAAAAGTGTAATTCCCAAAACTAAATTGTAATAAAAGCACTAATTCAAATTAATGCTAGGCGTAACTTTAGACGATCGTGATAGGTTGGAAATAAGAGGCTTTGTTTTCACACCAATTTCACTTCACCCTACGAGAGATGTCGACTACGCCAAAGCGGAGGTTAGAAAAGTTGAAGTAGACTCAAAATGTAAAGAAGCACCGAGCTAATTAAGTTCAGGTCTGATGTACCAGGAAAAATAAATAGGTTAGTTTATTCTAATTACGAACATATTAATAATAATAATAATAATAAATGAGTCGGTTTTCGAGACTATCAGTAAATCAGATATGTGATGAAGAAATGGTAGTTGATATTTGCAACAAAGATGGGAGTAGAGTCTTGCTTTCACAAAAGATGTTCAACTGCTGCTTAAGGTGTTGATAAGACCTATGCAAGGTCGAAACTGCGGTCCATTTTAACTTTTGGAAAAGCAGGGCTATACGAAAGTCAAA